ATCCTCTGTCTGGACTGGCATCCAAACAATGTACTCCTGGCAGTGGGATCCTGTGACTTCAAGTGCAGGTGGGCCTTCTGGATTGACTTCAGAGTTTGAACAAGTCCAATATTCCCAGCTGGATGGAATCATGGAACCGAATGTGATGGTGTTATTAGACAATGTTTTATATGACTGTGTTTGATTATGTGCCATTAAGTAGGTGGTAACTCTTGGTGGCCACCTAAATAATGTTCTCCAGAACAATCTGTCCCACGTTATTCTGGAAGATGTAATATAAACCTGTTATGAAGTCTTCTTCTCCACCTGTTGCATACTAATCGATGTGATTGTGGATCTAGGTGAAATAGCTCCTTCTCTGTTGGGTGTTGGAGAGTCACCTGCCTTGTTTTCCTCTTTTCCATCCACCCTTCAGGATTTTCTCGGCCTACATTAAAGAGGTGGAAGAGCGGCCAGCCCCTACTCCTTGGGGATCTAAGATGTCATTTGGGGAGCTTATGTTTGAGTCGAAGAGTAGTTACAGCTGGGTCCACAGCATCTGCTTTTCAGAGAGTGGCAACCGCCTGGCCTGGGTGGGCCATGACAGCACCATCTGCCTGGCAGATGCCAACATGAAAACGGCGTAAGTAGGATGGTGTGAGGAAGGGAGGGAAGACATCTGAGGAAGGTTGATGGATTGTCATGGGAAGAAAGAAGAACCTTGAGAAATAGGAGGAAGAACCACAGTTAAGACGATAGTCAGATAAAAGAAACCTGGGCCTGAAAAGTAATTTGAGAAAGCATGGCAGGAATTTTTTATTCAAACTTTATATTAAAAGTTGCATTAGCTTGCACGCTTTTGGTCTATGGTCTATGAGTTTTTTGGGGTCCACCTATTTCAGTTCTCCAAGATAGACCGGTCTTGGAGAACCTGACATAGGTGGACCAAAAAAAGTGACCTGGGTGATGTAGACTTGATGAGTGGTGTGTTTATTTGAATCCAGTCAATCCACGACTGGAGTTTTCACATTTGTAATTGAAACCAAAGTTAAGGCTGAAGTGTTGTTTTTCCCCTCAGTGTCACCTGTCTTTCTACGGAGACTCTGCCCCTCCTGGCTGTGACCTTCATCACCGAGAACAGACTTGTGGCTGCAGTAAGTCATACACTTTCTTCTCTGGTGGGGTGATTTTTCCACAAAAGATTTTCACGTAGAGCCCTGGGCTCCTCATTTGGGGAAATGGCTAAGCGATCATCCTTGCTGTGTGGATAATGTCATTTTAAGGTTTAGCCAGTAGATGGCACCATGATAAATATGGATGAGTCCAGTAAAGAATATTTGTAGCTCGGGATTGAAATGAGGGGCCCTTGGTGCTCTCTGAACTTGGATATTTTCTTGCAGATGTTTCATGACCCAACTAGGTAACATCATCAGTGCTGGAAGGGAGTGGGAGAGGAGGAGGAGGAGGAGGAGGAGGAGGAGGAGGAGGA